CAGTACACGTAAAACGTTGCCTAAATCAGCCATGCATCCCAAGCTTGTATGGGCACCACTAATGGTGGCTAACACTCTTAGTGGTTTTAGCATAAATAAAAAGATTCACATAGATTAGGAAATGTTAAGACTACTATTTCACACAATGCAAACAATCACTACTTGTGATTTACATAGAAACTTTTGTTTTCATCATGTCTCACCTATATTTCCTCTCTCTCTTCTTTTTTAGCATAGATCACCTTGTCTCTTCCCAAACATATATCGCTTCTACAAATCGCTACGTCAATTATAAAGTATCTATTTTTTTATTCGATCCTACGTGACAATTAGGGCAACAAGCAAAAGCATAGCGTTGGGAAGGCCTCGTCATGTCTCCATCCAAAAACAAACACAAGCAGGCCCGTAATCTGTGTCCGTCCGAACAGCGTAACTTCACATTTGAATTGCAGGCAAAAGTCACGTCACGTACGGAGTAGTAGTAAAGGAAGATGGGAAACACTACCACCAGCGGCTGCATCAGAGAAAGGAACTGGGGCCGGCGAGCGAGGACGAAAGGAAAGATTTTGCCTTGCCCCTGCCCCTGCCCCTGCCCCCGGTCAAACTCTCAAAACGACGGAGGTGCTAGCAGAGCATCAGAGCAGGCACACGGGCGGCCTCGAACCTCGAAAATCCTCGGTGATGGTGGTGGATGCCGATCCGGATCTGGTCAGGCCATCCAAACAGGGCGACGAGGACTGCCACGTGCGGCTGCCGCATGCTGATTGCTGACCTGTGCTGCTCCCTGCTCTGCCACGTGCGGCTGTCCGGACTGCACTGGATCGGAGGGAATCCCAGGAACAGCCGCATGCAGAGGCAGGCAGGCAACCGCCCACCCGTGCGGCTGCGTCACGCGTGCGTACGTGCGCCGAACCGCGGATGATTGCCCCCGCCCGAGGCATGACTCCACTCCACCCGCCTGCCTGCACGGCAGTAGCAGCAGGTCAGGTACTAGTACTTGCTCCTCCTCCGTCACCCGTTGGGCACGCAAACCAATATACATGGGAAATTATAAAAATGCCCCAGTAAATATCAACGCCGATCCCGCGCTCTCCACAGCTTCCTCTCGTTCTCGCACTAGCCCTTCTGGCCCAGCTCCCCTGCTTCTGCTTCTTGTCTGGTCACCGGGCTGGCCGTGCGGCGCCTCCACGCTCCGACGGGCCCTGCCTGCCCTGGCCGCCGCCAGGCCCGGGATCCAGCCGCCTGGTCGCCGTAGCTGTGCCCACCGAGCCAAGAAGGCCTTGCCGCGTGTGGAGCCGCCGCCAGGCGTGTTGATGGATGCTCGTGTATTATTCTGGTTCTGGATGGAAGGGAAGAGGAAGTGAGGTTGGCTCTGGAATATCAAATGAGTGGACACAAGTGCGCCACGTTGGTGTGGTCGCCGTAGCTGTTGCGAGCGGGACCTGCAACCCGACAGTCTAACCGACGGCTTCGGAAGTGCTGCCCGACTACGGTCTTTTTCGGAAAAAAATTGAATCCCCGAACGACGGTCGAGTACACTCGGGTCGATCACCTGTCGATTGCTAATGCACCCACTCCGGGCTGCATTTCGTACCCCCTCTGCCCCTTTATTACAGTCGTTTTAGCTGGGAGAGGTTGTCCCCAAACGAGTGTCGTTGGCCTACTAATGCAGACCTATACGTAGATAGGTGTATCATCTACCACAGCACCTGCTTGTGCCTGTGTAGCAGCCTTATCCCCTCCTGGCTTCCCCCTCCCACCACCGTCAAGACGTACGGAGTATGTACCATCTACCAGAGCACTTGATTGGCATACAGGGGTATGCATGTCTTCCTTTTGCCTCCTTGGTATAAGCGTCCGGAGCTAAAACGGAGGGAGTACGTGCTAGTAGTAGTGTGTGTGTTGTGTCACTCCCAGCGGAGCGGTAGGCAATGCAAGTTCAACCATACTCCTAACTACGTACTCCTGTCCAACCAAAATACAAATTTTCTTTTTTCAACCAAACTCCTATCCAACCCAAACCTCCAACCTGTCCAACCTTGACAATAAGAGGTTCTCGTTTTTCTCTCCTAATAAGCCCCTCAAGATGTAGAAGGCCATCATCCTCTTCCTGCTCCTCTTTTTTCTCTTCCTACAAAACTGCCAAGTGGGGCTGATGAGCTGATAATACTCTATAGTGTAAACTAGAAAATTTCCAGGAGATCAGTTGTATTGTGCTGAGAAGCAAGGGCTGAACATGGATGACAGACTCTCGTTTGAGGGAATACAGGTGCGGATCCGCGGGGGACAGGGGGAGGGGGGCTGCAGCCCCCTCGTGAGCCTGATTTCTTCAATTAATTATTGTTACTTAGCTTCAAATCACTATTACTCTCTACTTGTAGCCCTAAATCTTCATTATTTAGTCCCCCCACACCCCCTTGTCCTCAACCTGTATCCACCCCTGAGGGAATAGGAGGTCAAATCTTGAGGTCTTAGGTTACAGTTTGCTCTTACGGGCTAATCAATCATGTGATGAGCCATTACAATAATAATACTGTGCTCGTGATTAGCAGCCCCCATCTGCTGCAACTACAATAATAATCTAGCCGCTGATCGAGTGGCATGCATGCAGGAGCAGGTCCCCAATGCATGTAATGCAACACTGGGGGCACGCATCGGATGCCTAGCTAGCTAGTAGCTTATTGGTTGCCCAGTGGGGTGCCCACCAACATGTTACCCACTCGATTAGCAGAGACTAAGGTCCTATTGGATCCGTAGGGCTAAAGTTTAACCCACCTCTTTTAGTTATTTTTAGCCTTCCATGAATCTAAACAGGAGGACTAAAAATGGGGGCTAAACTTTAGCCCACCACTTTTTCATTAGCCCCTCCAAAGTAGGCTAAGGAGGGCTAAAAGATGTACCGTGGGACAAAAGACTCATATTACCCCCACCCATCCCAGCGCATGGCTGTGCATGTGTAATAAATTAGGGGCAAATGAGTCATTGTAGGGTAAGGGGCTGATCTTTAGCCTCTGGATCGAAACAGTCCCATGGACTAAATTTTAGCCTTTGTATTCTAAGCACTAATCTTTAGCCCTGGGCTAAAGTTTAGACTAGATGATCCAAATAGGGCTTAATCTCCTACAACTAAAAAGAACAAAAGTAAGACAACCATTTCGTGCGACAAAAACTCAGGTCGTCGCTCTGTCTACGACTTGCGATACCGCGAGTCATTTGGCGAAGCGCCGGCAGGTGGGACCTTTCTCCCCGCGAGTCATTCGTGCGATCCCTCTCCTCCCGACGATCCTTCCTCCCCCTATGCGCTCCTTCCTCTCTGCTCCGTCAATCACGCACCCGGCGCTCCTCCCCCCGCGCCATTCTTCCTTCCCCCACGCGATCGTGCGATCCATCTCCTCCCCGCAAATCCTTCCTTCCCCCGCGCGCTCCTTCTTCTCTGCGCCGTCAATCACGCTACCGGACGCACGGTCGGCGCACGCCACCAGTCGCCAGGGCACGGCTGGCCTCCACCACACACGATGCGCTCCCGCCCCATAGCGACTCTGCCCCAACGCCACGACGCTCTACCCTGGCTCAAGCCGCGTCAGTGCCACAGCAAGGCGACCTCGGCAGTAGCGCACCCGGTGGCGCAGTCCACTGGGAGGTCAACCTCACATCTAGAGTGGAACCGACGCGCTGCCCTATCCTGGCTCACCATGCGTCTGTGCCTTGGCCGCGCCGACACCGCCAGTGAAGCCCGCCGCTGGGGAAGGGAAGAGAGGCGGTCACGCGCCGCTAGGGAAGAGAAGAGAGGCGGTCGCTCGCACCATCCGTCGCCTCCCTGTCCAACCCGGCCCCATCCGATGGCCTCTCTGCCCCTTCCCCAAAATTCTCTGGCAAGATCGTCAATCCACGGCCCGCCCGCCCTCCTCATCTTTAGATGGGGCGCTTCGCGTTGAAGAGCGGCAAGAGCAGTGGGTCAAGGGTCCCAGGCTCCTGGGTCGAGCATCCGTTCATGCCTGGACGCTGCTGGCCAAGTCGGCTCCGGCATCAACTCCTTCGGCCACGTGCACAACAAGAACTGTGTCGTATTTATTTGTTGAATTTGACTACTGCCTGGACGTGCACACTCTATTTTAGGAAAGAATTTTACTACTGTTCCAAAAAGGGAAACAAGGGCGGAGAGGGCTCCTCGCGTGCGCGCCTTCCCTTCTCTGTAGACGCGCGCCGCCGGATGCGCCTTTCCTTCTGTGCAAACGCGGCCCACCCTAAAAAGCACGCACAACATCTTCTTGTCCTGCAAGCAATTTCTCCCCACCGTAACCACTCCCATATTGGATCTCAACAGAACCAAGAAAATCACCCAGGAAATCACAGAACCCAAGATGATGAAGAAAATCACATACATCCAAGATTGAAGCATTTATTGAGGCAAAGTATCAACAGTAATAGGTATTTCAAGTCAGATTAATGCATGTTCATATCTCCTCCCAATGTTCTTCCCTTTTCAATTCTTACTACTTTCCTTCCATCATACCATGTGATGGGTATTTTCAACACATTCAGAAAGTAATAGATTGCTAGTTGTCTATATATCTTCACAGATTGCTAGGAAGTCACAGTTACTAGGAAGTCACATATTGGTAGGTAGTTACAGATTGGTAGATATTCACAGATTTTCACATATCTTCATATCATTTGCTGGTGCCTTCACATTGTTGTCCAACATGCAGGAAAAAAGAGCATATTAGAGCTAAACAGAGAATTATACCAGCTGCCCAACAATTTACATAATCACTTCTTGTTTGCAAATTCAAGTTGGCAAATGTAACATAAAATACCAGCCATGCATCGCCCCTCGTATGTATTGCATTACCATTTCCATGAAACACAACACTGACGAGACAAGAACCAGAAAATTGTCTATTATAAGAATAAGAAAATTGTCTAACAATAACCTATCTGCAATACATGGGAAAGGATTGGATTGTAACTAAGAGAAACTTAACTAGAGGTCAAGGAACATGTCACCAGTAAGATGTCTCAAACATCACAAATGTGAGCAACAGTTCTTTTTTTTGGCAACACATATGCATGACATTTTCTAGTAGCATAACAGTGAGCAAATAGTGCCTGTTACAACAGCATTTGTGTGACCAAAGCTGAATACTTTCAGCATCATACCGGCGTTGCAAGTTGCAGCAGCATACATGTGACCAAAAGTGCCAGGTTCAGCAGCATATGTGTATTGCGACCACAAATGCGCAATCGAGCAAGATGATTATTTAGCTTATCAAATGCTAAACACTAATAAGTTTAGAATTAAATCAAGTTTCAGATATCATGCACAGTACAAACTGTAACCTAAGCATGTGATAAGCTGAAATGATTCTCCCTTCAATGAAGTTTCTCTTTTTTATGTACACGTTGTCAGTAACAATCACAAATGAAAAAGGAACAAAGAAATTAGAAAATTAAGGAGGGTAAGCCTATTGATTGTTATGGACAGATTGTTTGGAATACATTGTCATTTGCCTATGAAAGTACTATTAGTTTTGTTAGTAGTTGCCTAATAATTTGAAATAAAATGCTTTAAATATAACATGAAATTGGTTGTTTCAAACGTGTAGGGAAAATAGTTATGGATTTGAATGAACTTCCTGCAGGAGGCATATGATATCTTCGAAGATGTTGTTGAGACAAGAAATCCTATGTTTTGCACACAGGTACCTAGTACCTATGATGCAGTCTCCAATTTGCCTACAATTTCAGAACTGCAATGCTCCTTGGAAGACACACACATAGAGGCAGCTGCTGCTGAGAATGAAGTTGAACCAGTGGCAACTATTGGTGTCACAGAAGCTACAAAGGCTGATGTTGGTGATGTTGACTTGCAGTTCCTAGCGGTGATTTCTTCACCCGACAAGTCATATGTTGGAAAGATGTTTGATACAATCGAAGAGGCTAGGCTTTGCTACAATGAATATGCTAGAAGGAAAGGCTTCTCTATAAGAACCGGAATGTCTAGGAGGTCAGCCATTATAAAGGAACTTAACAAGATCTTATTTGCGTGCAACAAGGAAGGCAAAGGTAAAAAGATCAAGGGTGTTGATGAAGAGATCACCGAAGTTGATGATGTTGAGCTTGGTACCTCTCAAAGTAGTGGTTCTGATTTGGATGAACCAAAAGGGAAAAAGGCAAAGTGCATAGGCATCAAGAGGAAAAGAGAGAAGATGAAGTACTATTAGTTTAGTCCAGTGTGATTATGCATGCCCATTATATCATTTCTAGCATTTTTCAGTTCAAGCTAAGCAGTTTACTTATTGTGCCTTAGCAATTTTTCAATTATAGCTTGGCAATTTAGTAGCTTAAGTAGTTTACTTATTTAGCATATATGCTGCTAAATTTCTCCATCACCTCAGGATACTTGGGTTTTATCTATTTCATCCCCGATTCCCTGGTTGCTCTCAATCTTCCTTTGTCCCTGCCCTGCGTGACTCCATTGTACTGTACACGTTGGCACATGCTAGGATTCACTAATCTTTATGTATCAGCAGTCACGGCAACAATTATGGACCTATTAACGCATATGCTATGCCACAGCGCTGTTTGTACTGTGGATTAGTAGTATATCTGAATCATAATGGGACCAAGATTCTGTCTGGGCAGATTAATCGACGCATTATCGTTACCGCTACAACTTTTTGTCAATGTCAGAGGTATATTATTATTAGTAGATCTCAATGCATGTGAGCATGCTTGTGGCATCAGTGACCCGGACTCTTGCTCCTAAAGCTACTCGATCTCTGCTGGGTCTTGCATATCTTACCAGAGAAGAGAACAAATAGGGCACTGCTTACCAGAAAAAGAGAGGGAGGGCAGTGGGCCGTGGGGGGAGCCGAGCCTAGCCCTAGCCTTCTTTTGTATCGCTTTTAGAGATGTCCATTGCAATAGCATTTATTACTTATGGCAAAGCAGTTTATTTATTTGCCCTAGCATTTATTCAGTTCAAACTAAGCATTTTATTGATTACAACCTACCAACTTTATCTGACATCATTTTTGTTCTGTAGCTACAGGACAATGATAATACATTTCTGGGAGTTCTATGTCTTTTTGGAGCACCTTGCTGCATCAGTTAAACTAGGAGGCTACCTACATAACACTGTTTCAGAGATGGCAATTCAAGTAATTGACAGAGCGAATACCCACAGCAAGCCCACCAAGCGTGTGCTTCCATTATGAGTCGCGGTCAGATTCTATATACATTCTTGTTTAATATAGTACATGTTACAAGCGGTCAGATTCTATGTACATTCTATATACATTCTTGTTTAATATTTAGCTAGCTGTAGACTTCCCCTTTTTCGTCAACATTTTTTCATTCACAGTCAAGTATTTTTACATCTGCCCATTACCAATTTTGTAACTGTCTTTTGGCATTTCTTCATTTTTTGTGAGACATTTCTCCAATCGGGCCAGCTTGATAGGAATCAGGTGACTCGCGTATTCAGGCGTGCTGATAACAACCTCGACCACCGTCAGATGGTGTGTTCACATATGAACGTTTTCCTAAAATTCAGAATATTTAGATTTGTTGTGTTACTAACGAGATGTGAACAAAAACAACACAAGTAATGTTCCATGTGCTTGAGGCCATGGGAAACAATGGATCAGACACAGCGGGACACTACTACTTGCTGGTTCTAAACCTAAGGGGAAAGAGATTCGAGGTAATGGACTCGATGAGGAGTTTGGGAGACGAAAGGCTAAGAAAAAGTTACAACACCATCATGGAGGGCATTAAAACTCTATGGAGGAAACACTACCCAAACTCAAAAAAAAGACATAGAGAACTACGAGACTGTGGACATTGGTGTGCCAAAACAATCGAATAAGTAAGTTAAAAATTAAAACTGGTTCTTGTGTTGCAGATTCTATACATTGGCTAAATCTAATAAGTGTTGCACATTGTGTTATTGCAGCCATGATTGTGAATTTCATATGCTCATACATGCTGAGCACTGGAATGGCTGTACAATATACAACTTTAAGGAGAAAGATATTCCCAATATATGAAAGCTATTGACACACAAGTGGGTGACACACCTCGACAATGAAACAAATTGGAGGGACAAGTAAAAGCTGGGCCAGGTATGTGGGAATAAAAACTAGCAATTTAGTATGATGCACAAGGCATTTATGTATGAAAAAGAAAGCAATTATGATGTGCATTGCGGGTGTCTTATGGTAACGAACAAATAAAGTCTGAATATATACAGTACATAGGTTGAGAACCATTTTTAGAGAACACTCTGTGTCAGACTTATGAAATAAAACCAAAAAGGCAGTCCAATAGTGAGCACACTTAATCTTTATCCTTATTTTGCAAATAAAAAATTTTCAGCAACCATTTCAACAAATGAAACAAAGGTGTGTTCACTTCAGCTTTTGGTGGCTGCAGTTTCACAATAGTTTTTTGCTGTACATAAAACATGTACAGGCAAGAGGCACACTCATTGTTCAGCCTAGCTAGCATGGAATGTTAGTGAGGCAGTGGTTGCATGAACTTGTATATATGCACATTTGGTCAGCACTTGCATGCAATGCAGACCAAGGAAGCAGCATGGAATAGTTTAGCCAGTGCAGCACGAGTTTCAAGCACTGGATCGGAACCACGTAGATGTTCAGAACGTTCCAATGGACGGTCAGAGAGGAACCAAAAACTACATGTTATTCTCGCTATGCGCTTGCATAGCATGGCTAGGCAATTCTAGGCTTGGTAGCTTGGGCTGGCAAAAGAACCAAGCAGCGCCAAACCGGCTGCACCAACAGATAACAAAATCTTATGTGTTTGCCATCTCTTCTCCTGCCTATTCTATTCTTAGCTTAGGCCCCCTGCCTCCTTCCCTCCCCACCCGGCTCATGTGTTACATCATATGCATAGTCATTCAGAACTACAGAGAAGCGCACAGGTTGAATATAATTCAACAATAACAAAGAGAGGAACCACACAAATGCACACATGTAGTTAACAAAACTAAGAACATGCCTAATACCTAGTGCACATTAATACTCAAGATCTGCAGAAATTAGGTTTGAGATATCCCAAAATAAACTCACCGTTGCAACTGTAGTAGGAGATTCCAACCCTCTGTAGTAGGAGATGCACAAGTAGCAACTAAAGTCCAAATGCCCAATACTGCACCTGCAATGGTAGATCCGCCGGGGATTTGTATAGGCTAGATCCCCCGGCCATAACGTGTAGGGTTAGAACAACATGCATTGAAACGGGTAAGAAGGACAAACGCATCAAAAGGGGAAAGAGGAACAAACCAAATTAGAGTCGATTTCGTCGGTGAAATCAATTGCAAGGCGAAGGCGCGAAGCAATGCGGGTCGGTGGAGCACCTCCCAATTGCACGACCGTCGGCTTGGGACACGCGCGGTCGCTGGGAGAGAACGAGCGGCCACCGGGGAAAGCACAAGGGGCCGCCGGGAGCGCCTGCACGACCATCGGAGATGGGTTGCACGGCCACGGGAGAGAGAGCCGCGGACGCCGGGAGACCACGACCGGCTGTCGGGGAGGGTACCACGGCCACCGAGGAGCACCTCCACAGCAGTTGGGAGGGGGCAAGGCCTGTGAAGCAGCCGGGAGGGGCGCGAGGCCTGCGCGGCCATCGGAGATGGGTTGCACGGGCCGCCGGGGAGTGTTGGCGCGGCAGCCACGGGGGAGGACGGGGGGCCTGCGCGGCCGCAGATCTCCTGCATCGACGCCGAGAGGAAACGGGGCCTGCGTGGTCGTCGGAGATGGGTTGCACAGGCCGCCGAGGAGCGCTGGCGTGATAGCCGCAGGGGAGGGCAGGGGGGCTACGCCGCCGTGGATCTCCGGCATCGCCGGTGACAGGGGTGGACAGAGGAGAGAGGAGAGGGGCGGACAAGAGAGAGAGGAGAGAGGGCGGAAATGATGGGTGCGACTCCTCAAATTCAAACAGTGCTGCATGAGAGTGGGCTCCACCGAGCGATTTCCACCTCTTCCCGTCACCTGTGCATCAAACGGCTGCGTCCGCACTATGGGAGATCGGACGGCAGCGAGCGGTGCGCATGCCAGGGCGCTAATGCGCGCGCGTAAATTAGCATTTAGGTTATTTGGTTCTTTTCTCGTGCGGACTTCCACATACCAGCACAGGTAACATGTTCGAAGAAATTCCCCTAAAAGCTTTTGAATTTTTTTGTCAAATTTATGCCCAGTGACCTGTGTTTATTTGGATCACTCGGTTGAGAAAAAAAAACTCTTTTACAGTTTCTGAACCTTGCGTGTCATTGAAGCTACAATGAGGTGTCAAGCTCTGTTTTTGTTTGTTTTCTTCCTCCACAGGTATGAGCAACGAGGTCCCAGAGCTCAAGCTGATACAAACTGATGTATCTTATCTTCAAAGGAAACAGACTTATAATATGACAAAGCATTTTGCATTGGTTCAACTAAAAATAAATATGGTTCCTCTATCACTCACTAACCTGAAAGTCTAAGAAAGTCATAAACCTGAAATCGCAGAGTAATTTTAAAACAAAATCATGTGGTCTATTGGCTATTGCACATAAACAAGAATCTCATATAAATATTACTTGTTGTTCAATATTTGAGTAGCAGATAAATTAAAATTGTGTATTTAAGTTGTGTTTACTCCGTAGCATATATGCTATCTAGGGGTTACTATTGTCACTAATTTTGTCTTTCGGTTGGCTTGCAGTGCTTTAAGATTCTGACAGTTTCCATCAACATACCATGGACCACAGGATGGAGTTTGCCCAACATGTTTGCTGGAAAATGTACTCATTCTGATTTGGCCTCAAACTTTCCATTTGGTTTGAACGATTCAGTTTTGATGAATGATTTATTTTGGAGAAGAAGTAGAATGATCTTCTGATGTCCAATTTACCTAAATAAGTTTAATCAAGTTAGTGGACGATGTCTAAGGTTATGTAAGAAAATGAATCTAACTGAATTTCTTTTTAGTTAGATTTTTTTGCCTTGTTTTTGTCACAACATATTTCTAACTCATCAAGTTGCTGCTTGTATGCATCCACCATTTTTGTTTCGATTTTACTGCCTCAGCAGCACTAATTTTTGCTGATTCAGTCATTTATTTGTCACTATATTCCTTTGACATCTTGCCACTGTTTGATCAAGCACATTAGCTCCTTTATAAGTGTTTAAGCTGCCTTGAGTGAATGTTCTTTGGTGGTTTC